AAAATACCACACTTCCCTCTGTCCCGTGCTATACCGGTGCCATCAATATGGGTTCATAGTCGGATTCAAACTCGCAAAATAAAATCTCAAACTTCTAAAAAGGTCATGTGTGGTCGGCTTCAAGTAACTATTCCTTGGGCTCTACAGTCATGTACTAATTCATCTTTCTCAGGTACCTCGAGAAGAACGAACCTAGTACAGTGTGGGCAGCTGGGAATTGTCAACCACCCTCACAACTCTATCAGCAATCAGATCACTTCCCACCTTCAACATCTCTCAGGTTTCATGGTCAACATTCCTATTTTATCTTAAGTTTCTCACAGCTCTCAATAACGATTCGAGTTCACAAAACAGCATCCCTAGTCTTCTGAAATAACTCTCCAAAAATACGTTTTGGAGCCCTCAATGTTTGCACTCTCCGTCGAATTGGTCAACAAGCCTCGCTAGCCAAAACTCTAGCATCTCAGGCCGTGGATTTGTGAAACAAGCATACAGGACTTATTAGATATATCACACATTGAAACAGTATTATTTACTAGGTACTGTCCCACTCTGATATATCTAATAAACAAGGCAAAATGGAATTAAATTCTACCACACTGCCCAAGTCTCACTCTTACACTACAAAAAGTCTACTGATGGACTCGAACTCAGTTAACAGTTTCCGATGTTCTGTCCGACTGGACGCGACAGTGAGGACTGAAAAGAATCGTGGAACTCCCCATTGTATTTTTGTAATCTCTCCTTACGCACTCATTGACTGAAGTTTGAAAGATGTGAAGAATGGGTTCAATCGAAAACTGTGTAGACTTTTACTGAAAGTCAAGCGTTCATATGTGGTTGCCGTTGCAGGGGATTTCAATGCACAAGTAGGCAAGCTAAGTCAGGCAGAAAGGCACTCAGGTAGTACTTTCAGAATCCCAACTAAACAAACAGATAACAGAGATCGGCTGCTACAACTGTGCTCAGGTAGCCATCTATTTCTAGCCAGCACGAACTTCAGAGATAAGGGGAGAAATCTCTATACGGTTACAAAACGTTCACTTGGCTTCAGCCACTTATAGCGCCACCCCGATTGTCTATCAAGGCTGAGCATACTGTGCTGCAGTTCTACTTTATGGCTATGAAACATGGCCATTAAAGGTAGAAGACATAACGATTCTAGTGCTTAACCAGCGTTCCCTTCATAGCATAGTTCATGGTATCACCACGTCAGTAACGCAGAAGTCAGGTGTAGCGTCTTAGAGGGAGGAGGAAAATCAGTTGGTGGAACATATGCTAAGCACCATCTGCCTCGTCACACAATGTTAGCTGAAGTATGTTCAGGCTGGAAAAAGGCTAGGGGGGTAGTCACACTAAAACATCTCGTCATTGCATGAAGTCCTTGACTGTTGGTTGGGGCCCTGGGGATACAGATTAGCCAGTTGGGGTCCACATGACAAGAGAAACCAGTGGTTGAAGACTCTAGCTGATATGGCTCAGAATCGATTTCAACGGCGCAGATGCATTCACACACTAACCACATCTTAATCGTCATTCTGAATCTAGTATTTTTTATTATTCTTCCTTCCTCTCTCTTAAAGTTTTTTACTGGTCTTGAGTTTCTTCTTTATCTTAGTGCTTTTTCGCTTGGTGTACCCACACGAAATGTGGCAACTCAGACCACTATGCAGTAATATCTGGCCTTATGTTGCTGATTTCTTCAAGTACACAATCCGCTACTAAATTAGTTCAAATGCGTAGTTCTGCATATTTTAATGCAGAAATTGTTTTAGGTTGTTAGCTGCTCAGGAGAAACCTGGAAGTATAATACATCCACGTCATTTTTATCAAACTATTTTTCTCGCTCCAGTTAAATTTATAAAGGGAACTAAATGAATGCTATTTGTAAAGGACACTATTTTGTCTCACCAAAACGTCATGTCGGTCAATTTTTCGCGATTCTGGAAAGCAATCCAGTTTTACAGGATATCATCGATTACAAAGTAACTATAAGTGAGGAAATTTTGAAGTGAAATTCTCTTCAGGGTTACAAGTAAACCTTGTCGATTGGTGCTAATAAGACTAAATTACATTCGATCACCCGTAGATGATTACCCTGTTTCCCAAACCCTAATAAATTATGTAATCTCCACAACCTTGGAAGTTGCCTTCACTGAGTGCTAGTGTTTTCTTTGAAAATCCTCGGATGAGACTTAAGGAATAATTTGCAAATCAGTTTGACCAGTCAATACGATGTTTGAGTATTTGTTCGTTATGGTTTAATTTCGTTTTGTATTAGTATACATTTGAACTACCTTGGTGTTCTCTGAGCTCAGAGAACACAATACAACCAAGACCATCCACCTGAACCACAAATATTCTCCACATTTGAACTATGCCATAATAGTATGGTCCTGATATGTCAAAAGCACACTTGTTGGCAACTTAACTCATAATGTGACACGTATTCGTTCTTTTGCAAAAAATACTGTTTTTCCTGATCAAAACAAATTGTCTAATAAGCTTAATTTATGCAAATAGTAAAAAGATGACATTACCGTATACTAATTCTATAAATGACATGAAAACCAGAATTATCATATTCAGTTGAACATGAGCACTTCCTTTAGTCAATAAAGACTACACTAAGTATAATCTCGATGCAAGTACCAATCTACGCTGGGTTTAGTCTACCCAGATAGACAAACAAACACAGAACGTGGTACAAAGATGCACCGGCTCAGGTTGCCACAACACACAGAAGTACGCAAAACACAAATGGATAAGAAAAAGTGGTACTAAAGTTGACAAAAGTGTTTGGGAGAATAGAGTATTTCACAAAATAAAAGTTAGTGGAAATATTCAAACTTTCGACTATATCAGATTTAATCATCTGCGCCATTGTGGTCTGTTTTAAGCCATAACACCAAGTCTCCAATCATTAATTCCTATGGTTTCTAGGACCTCAGCCAGGTATCCTACATGGATCAGGCCAATAGCAAGAGATTTCATGAACTGGCATCCTTTCCTGGCCACCCTATTTGGTTTATCAACACCAAACTACTTTGGGTCCCTCATGGCTGAAAAAACCTAAGTGGAAATAGACCTAATAAACAGTCATCTCTGCACCTGGACTTCGTGTTTGTAAGCACTCACTGGTAGTATGTATCTTCAGCCTTGAAGAAACTCATAATCTCAAAATTCTTAAACTGTGCCACTTAGGATCAGAAATTGTTCTACTAAAATATTCAAATCATGACTGACCCAACAAGCTGTAAACTTTCCCTCTTCATTCGTTTCACCACAACTCAAAGCACCCTAAAAAACACCAGTCCTCGCTTTCAAAGTAAGGAAACAGACTAAATGAATGAAGATGAATCCCACCTTTTGATAGGATGCGTTATCGCTAACTAGGAACATCAACTGGTAAATTCTGGAATTCTTTTGCAACCATAAACTACCTAAATATAATATAAAGGGACGTAAAAAGCTATATTCTTGATTTCAGTCAAGCAGACATTGACAGTAGCATGCTTCTCTACATGAAAATCGTTACTTTCCAAGTTCAAGAAAATTCAGTCATTTCTAAGTCTAGTTCAAAACACTGCATTAAACTCTGTTTCAAAACAAATGAAGGTCGATGAGTTGTGTGAAACATTTCTGAGTAGTAACTTGAAGATTACTATTAGTGACTGTTAACTACTTACATAACCTAGTAGTATCTCTCATTGACGCAAAATATTGTATTTGTGGTCGTAGTGCAACAAACATGGAATCTGACAGCATATACATGCTACTGTTAAGTTATTACGAACAAGTTAGGAAACTTTTGTTTTCATTATTATTTTGCTACACAGTCAAACAGTAGGATTTAACTACCATCATGGCGAATAAGAGGTAGTATTTTCATCGGGATGGCAGTCAGTGAAAACTTACTCGACATTTTAAAATTAAAATGGTAGGGTATATCTAGGACTAAAACTTAAGTCAATCTATCTTGTACACACTACACTTCACGGATAGACAATGCATTCAGTATTCTTATTTTGCTGGTTCTTCATGTAAGTTGAAATATGCCTACATCACCAATAAACTTATCGGCTCGTTACCATTCAAGTAGACATTTTACAATGGGTGCTCTGTTGCTCACTATTGTTTTAGATAATTTATTACAGGAAACTCACAATTATTGAAGTGGATACCGGAAAACTTCAGACTCCTATTGGGCTACTTTGAGGTAAAATCTACAAATAAATAGTACTAACTGGTATAACTAATTGAAAAGTAATCTCCAATGCTCAGTAGAGGAATCCAGGTTATTTGAACTCTTGACGTCTGCTCTCCTTCGGGTCAAAGAATGCTAGCAGTGTATCCAATTCGCCTAAACCAACCCGAATGTGAAAAACTTCAGAAAATTAGCGAAAATGCAATCTAGCAATTATGTGCATGTTTAGAGGTCATTAACACTATCTATTTTTTTCAACTACGGTAAATAGATGACGAAACTGCTAATTAGTTTAGTCGTCTAGCTTCGAGTAATGCATCCTGCATCCAAAATACAATCCACTTCAGGGAATGAAAATATCTAGGAACAACACCGAGATATCTAATACAATGGGTTGCAGTGAAAACACTGTAATTTAATCCCATACATGACCCATCTTACGGCACAACCTGCTTCTTTAAAAACAGGACGTGGCGCAACGGTGTGTAAATGCAAAACAAGGACAAATATAGTAGGATAGAAAAGAATAAATGAAAAGCCACTAAGAGTGGATGCATACTAGGCAGCTATCACCCAGACTTTAAACCGCTCTTACAATCACAAGAGTCGCAGTCACGAAATCTGCGAGGCGTTCTCATAGCTCCGCTTTCATAGTGTGCTCAAAAGCAGGGCAGTAGATTCCAAATTTAACAGAATTACTACCCATTGCCATGCACAATTCTAAAAAAATTAAGTCCCGATAAATGCACTACTGAAACCTCAGAACATTGACACCCTCCAAGAGACTGACAAACATAAATATTCAGCTGTTTATTTAAACAGATATAAAAACGCTCACTAAAAATATGAACTGAAAGAACATTACCTTATATCAAGTGATAAAGTAAAGGAATACAAAGTATAATGAATGTTTTGAACAAACTTGAAATAAGTAAGTGAAACTACGGAAGAGGTATTCCCTACCTTACTTAAATCGAATAATAAACAAACAAAAATGAATTTACAAAAAGAATCACGAAATGACAAGTTAGTGCAGTAAATTTCATAAGCACTCGAGATCACACATCAGATGCAGAACACTTCATACATGAAATTTAGTTCATGCATCGTCACATAAAGACCTCAAGGGCATATGACAACCCAAGAAAAATAGTTGCACTGTATTTACTTGATTAAACGTTCATTTAGAAATTCAGTAATTGTATCGCTATCCCAAGTGTCGACCGGAACCTCTTCCTGTACTTGTCGATTTTCGTTAAGCATACGAACAGCAGGTCTATGACCTCTTTCGTAAACCACTTTCAGGCTCGACATTTGCTTCCTATTTTCACTATTTATAAATGCTAAACACAAAATAAAAGCAGATTTATCACGGTTAGTTTAAGTGATATCCCTTAAACAATCTTGAAAAAAACAGTTGCAATAACTAATGAATAATTTTCGCAAGGTTGACATTGATACAAACCATCCACTGTGGCTGATTAGTCCCTTACCTTAATTTCTGAAGTAGTGTCGAAAGTTCGAAAACTGCCCCATATACTGAGGTTTTAGTGAATATACGGTATCATTAACATTCGCATGTGTGGTTGATTGCCCGACCTTCCAACAACTCCCGAGAGTGGTCAAATCAGACAGTAATTTAAAACGGTGGAAAATACACGAAAAGATAACATGAAGTCAATCAATATAACTCTACACATTCGCACAATATTCCTTCGTTTTGTGTAGTCAAAATACAGCAACAGCCTAAGGAGCCACCCAATATAGGTTTGAATGACGTAGAGAAGTATGCTGTTGGTTCGTTACTTTGAAGTGCTACGAATTACTCAATTTGTACTCTTAATAATATAATTCAAATTCGGTAATACTTGGGTACTTTTGACTTCTTAAAGACCTGAACTAACACTATTAATTTGCTATCTATCTCTCATTTATATATATATATATATATATATATATATATATATATATATATATATCGATGCCTCTAATAGTGATTTCTTTTTGTGCTGCCGTGAAGCATGGTATTTTGAAATAGTCAAGTTTTTGTGGGACAGCAGCACCGAAAATACCACATCACAATTGTTCTGTATATCCTATGTCAGTATGGAAAACTTTGCTTAATACCAAAACACAGAAATTTCACCCTGAAGAGTGAACTTCAGTTTAACAGTATACTCCCGATACAGATAAACTATCGAGTTTCGCCCAAACTAAGCTCTAAGCAAATACTCAGAACAAATATTGTGACATATTCAGCGAGTAAATTCAGCAAAAAACCGTTGAGTTGTGAGGGATTACCAAGTAACGTGGAAACTTATGGCCAAACTTTGATGAAACTGAAGTGCAGCTTCCTGGCACCAAAATGCAACTAGGACTAAAATAGATAGATTAGGTTAAATTAGCTAAATTGATCTCCAGCTGGCCTCCGAGTGCTTAAGTTTTGTTTTAACGAGCATGTATCCAAGCTGGCTTCGACACCTATTTTGTGCTCCCTTTGTGCTGGTTAGCACGCATGTACTCGGAGTCCCTAGTTCAGCCACACTAGCCAGGTAAGTTGAATAAAATTTTCCCCTATTCATCACTATTGCATTTATTTTAATTAAATATATTACTGCTTCGAATATATTCCTGAAGCCGGTTCTTTTGATTTGTGTTTCGTCATCAGTACTTACACGTTAGGCAAGGTACTGGTTAAGCAGGTACTACAGCATATCAAGTTAATTAGGGTTGGTCAAACGTTACGCAATAACAATACAACCCCCACACACCCTGCAAACTAAGTGACTTTTGCTGCTTTTGAAGCCAATAAACTTACCGAGCACTTGGGATAGCGTTCTAAAGATCAGGAGCAGGCAACCAATTCTGCGAAGGCATATTTCTTACAAAATAAATTGTCTGGAGAGCTTACTTTGAACATTCCAGGTACACTTTCATCTTCACAACACCGCAAACAAGAAGCCTCAATTTTTTCCAATTTAAACTTCTTTAGCTCTGTACAAGAAGCACATTTAAGCAACGGAGTATATCCTGCAACTGCACAGGAATTCCTATCATCTCCATACACGCTAATCTATAAGAAATACTTAAGTCATATAAGCCAATTATTCTTACAATTAGTGTGAGGAAATAGACAACAACGTCACAAAGTAACATTATAACACGCGCTATCGAACGTGTGCAGTAGCCTGGAGTGATGAAGATAAACAAATATCTCATTTCACCTTCAAATCTGATTCCTCTTCATTTGAATTTATCAAGATATATAAATGCATGATTCTCTTGGTGATATGCTCCCATACACACCCAATTAAGTCATTGAATCATGTCCCCAGTATATAAAGGTGGAAAAACGACTTGCCCCTAACTATTTACTAATCTCCCTGATTTCTTCAGTTACGAAGGTCATGGAGAGGGTAATAAGTGACCCATTTCGTGAATAAGTGCTTAAGAGTCCAATCTTAAGCGAATATCAGCATGGTTTGTTACTTAAAAGGACATGCAACACCAACTTGTTGATGGGTTGGAATACCCGGACTTTCTCTAATTAGCAGAAAAAGCTCATTCACATTGGTTTACTTGACTTTTCTAAAGCCTCCGACGGGCCTACCATGACACCCTGTGTAAAAAACTTCAGCTTGCGGTGTGCACGGAAAGTCACTAAGATGGCCTGGAGATTATTTTTACACTTGGTCGAAGTCGGGGTTGGCTCCTCTTTGCACAACTGGTTCCTGATGCTAAGTGGTGTGCCTCAAGGTTCTATTTTGGGCCCACACTGTTTCTTGCACTCACCAATGACCTATCAGGATCCCTCACGTTTCATTCACCAGTATATGCCGGTAATCTGAAGATCTGGAAGGAAATACAGATGCAAATAGATATTTCAATCCTCCAGGAGCACCTTGCGAAAATCTTAAATTAGACTACAGAAAACCTGCCTGAAATATAGGATAATGGTAGTTAACGAAAATAAACCAGTCCCAGTTCTTACTCTCTGGATGAAATAAAAATCCGTCACTCTAACATAAAATAAGATCTGGTAGGCACATTCAGCGACAGACTAAGAGCTTCAGTCCACTGACTACATGCAACCAACAAAACCTATGCAGCCTTGGGGTTTCTTTTGCGAACTTTAAGGGGTCCAACTCCTCTTTTCGCCGCAGTGTTTGTACTCTATATTTGTCGCCGTCCTTGAAAAATTCGCTCGTGGTGTTCGCATGCTTGAAGAAGGACACAGCCATTCTTGAACGGGTCCAGAGAAGAGCTATGAAGAAAGTGGTTGGGGTACCGTACATACCCTACTTGGATCGATAGTTGCCATTAGGCTAAATCAACTACAATGCCGGAGGATCACAGGGGATATGACCATGATGTATCATATTGCCCACAATTCCCTTCGTCCCGACAGCTTCGCCTTATGCTTTGACCAGAAACGCAATCTTGGGGGCCACGCGTTAGGAGTGGAGCATGAGACAGCAAGTACAAAGGTTTATGCCAACCCATTTGCAGCTGGAGTTTGTAAAATGTGGAACTCCCTTCCTTCAGAAGTTTTTACAGCCCCATTCCCTCAGACTTCCGAAAGGACGTCAGATTCACGTCCAGAGTCTTATGGTGCCCACGGGCTGTACTCGAAGGGCTTTCTGTCATCCACAGACCGGGTGGAGTATTACCACCTCAAGACCGGATTTACCGATAACCGGTTATCTCTATCCATTCAGGTTTTTCAGAACCAGGAGGAGAATTGTGACCATTCCGAACCTAGAGCATACTCCGATAGGACAGACGCAGAACCCTGGGAACTATCACTCACCAATTCTACAACACGAAGTTTGAAGTTTGAAGATAGAGTGACTACGTTGCAGAATGTAATGTCTGGACCTGGCTGCTTCTCACACTAGTTGTCGAGACATCCTCGAATCACCATCGTATATCCTTCTCACAAAAATCTCCGTTAAGTCACAAAATCACATACTGCACAATCCAACGCACGCATCTCAGCTTTGAAGTCTGCGTTAGCCATGTCTGACAGCTTCCAGTAATATCCAGTATCTTTTTACGAGCTTTATTTCTTCAGTATCTCTTTTAGTTCACGCAGAGCGTTTTCAGGTCTTTGGTGGATTCTAGTAAATGAATAAATAGATACATTTTTATTATCGCATTAGCAGTTTGACAAGAGAGAAGCCAGTTTACAGGCATCATCACATTGATATCTGTCGAAAAATTTACAAGATTTCACGAATCCTGAATAGTACGGAGGGCGGGTGGTTAGGCTCTATCAAAAGCATCATAAGATCGCAGTCGTAAGACAAAGAAGAAAATACCACTTTCAGCATATGTGAAGCGTCAAGGTGAAAATAATAAAAATTACTATTCTCATTTAATGGAGTTAACAGAAGAGATATCGGTTTACAAACACCGCCAAATTGATAATTCTTGAAAGTTTACAAGTAGTATCTGCTGTTATACAGTTCGAAGACAGCAATGATGCAGATACCCAACCAACAACAATAACTACAGCAACAAGTTGCGATCACCATCAACGGGAGAAACTTAAAGGAAGTAGTCTCTTTCAAGTACCCAGGCAGCACTGTTTCAACTAAAAGCGGTGCGGACGAGGGCATCAAAGCCACGATCGGAAAAGCAAGACAGGCGTTTGTCAGCCTGAAACCAGTGTGCAGATCTGCACTCAACATAAAGCATGAACAAGATCCGGATTTTCAACACCAGTGTCAAGTCAGTGCTCCTAGTAGGTTCAAGAACTTGGCGCGTTATGAGAGAGATTTCCAACAAACTACAGACATTCATCAACAACTGCCTACGCTGGCCCGTCACTGAAGCCCAAATGGCCAGAAAGAATAATCAACGAGGAACTGTGGGGACGAACCAACCAAGAGCCTGTCACTCAAAAAATATGCAGAAGGAAGTTGAGATGGGTCTGGCATAAACTGAGACGGCTAACTGAGGACATCGAGCCTCAGGTCCTTGAGTGGAACCCAGATGGGGAACGGCGAGTTGAGCGTCGAAGGGTGACATGGAGGAGATCGTGTGGGGGAAAAATGAGAGCTACTGGGCAGTCATGGAGCCAGGTTGAAAAGTTTGCAGAAAACAGAGTGCACTGGAGACGTGCTACTGAAGCCCTGTGTTCCACAAGGAACCCAAGGGACAAGTAATAAATGATTATGCAGTTCACATATCAAGTCAAGCTTGTTGCGGTTCATGAGACGGGCATGAAGTTTCATCTGCCATCACACAGATAGGTTCCACTATCGATAGCAAAAGAGCGCAATGTTTGCAGTTTGCGTTGTAACCAGCCGACGTCATTTGTCCACTTGCATAGTTTGTTATTTAGTAATGTAAGCGTTCACTCACTAGAAAGTTCTTCAGTTCTTAGCTTTGTTAACTGCAAAAGACAGGAGTGTCAGTAAGTATCCACAGTCGCATAACCAAGGTGAGTGTCCAAATCGATGCATTTCCACGTTATGTTTAAACATAATATAGATTAATTCCTCCGGGAATACCTATAGTTTTAGGTGGAAATAGACGTTGAAACGGTTAATAGCTTAAACGGTAATAGTCATACATAGACCTCAGGCGTATTTCATATCGGTGTAAGCAGCATCATTCGAGAAGTGTATCTGATGCTACGGTTGGTCTACCCACTTTCCTGCTGCATCTGTGGTATACCCGACGGGCAGTTGCATGTCTGTTAAGTTTGTAGGGGGGTATTATTTATCTTAAGACCATGATGAGGATGGATGATTTAAGTATTGCTTGCTGGTTTTGATCTGATAAGTCCATCCACGAAATCCAATCATTAGTGTCAAAACAACATCAGAATAAACCCGCCAAATCCTTGGTCGGAGAAAAGTTGCATGAAGAATTCCGTGAAAACCCTGAGGAGCAGATATGCGGTTTATAAAACATTACTTTGAGTCAAGTTGATACTCAAGCTCTCTCAGGCGGGTTTTGCATTCTATTGAAGGCCACCAGCCAAATAGACGCGTAGGCGACTTACAAATCTATGCCATCAACTCCCAAACTTGAAGCCGACAAATGAGGATGAGGGGTTGGTTGAAGTTTGTGTTGGTTGACATAGCCAACCAGCACTATGTGTCGTCATCATAATCATAGTCAAAAATTCCTAACACAAAGCATGAACCGCCGTTACTAAACCCACACTTAAAAGCAGACATCCTTATATCCAAACCTGTTTAAAGATCTGGCATTATCACAATGAATAAAAATAGTTATTTGAACAACACATTAACGATTCTGAGACCCAATGAGATTCAAATTGGATGGCGTTAAAAATGATGTTGTATTAACCCTTGAAAAGGAAACAAGTACCTTAGAGATCTTTGAAACAATAAATTGCTTGATAGTGCAACATATGAATAGCTCCAACCAAAAGATTCGTTTCTTTTGTTGAAACGTGTTTTGCTCAGAATTCATAAGTCTTACTTTATTTCCGGGAGCCGAGATATTAACGAATAGCCCGTTCTGTCAAAAGTTGGTGTAATATTTGGAGCCTCTCGAGAGTAAGCTGGCGATGCACAGTTCGAGAGACAAATTTTAATTTCCCCACGAAATAGGTCACGTTGGCGTTTCGTACCTCATGGCAACGTACGATTTGACTTTTCTGTTTGCAAATATACAACTGCGTGAGACGACTGATGCAACCTCCCAACAAACTAGGCTACCGACGCTGGACGAAAGAGAGATGAAACGGCCCTGGCTGCCTCGCGAGAAAGTTGTCAGATCCCAGTTCAACCATGTTCCGTACTGACACATCCATGAGGTGGTCATGAGTTTAACACTAAGACCTGTCATGATAGGCATCTTCATGGATAGCCTCGCAAGATGCGAGTGGGTTCAGTGGTCAGTTGAACAACATACTTCCGCAGGTAAGTTGATGACATCCGCATTGTTTGCACTGGCATGAACCACTAAGCTCAGTTGTTCGATAAACTCAACTAGGCACATCCCAGGACGAAATTTACGATAAATATGAGTGGGGTGAGATCAACTTTTCTAGGCTCAAGGCCAGAGGAATAAGTGTATATATGATTTAAGGGAAAATCCGCGAACTGAACAATACCTTGGATCCAATAGTTTCCGTCCTATTAGCTACAGATGTATGTTGGTCAGACGCTTTTCACCAGAGCTGGAAACCTATATCAGAATGATGGGTTGGGGGAG